TAAATTAAATGATTGTTTTATGAACAAATGAGAGCACATACAAATATTTAAGCACCTTATTTAGACCGTCGCTGATTTTTGCGAAGACTACGGAGCGTATAACAATTTTTTGAATAATCACAACCGAAAAGAAAAAATATCTCGGCTGCCTATTGACGGCTATTGATTGATCTAGATGAAGGTCATCGAGGCGAAAATGAAAAAAAAAACAAGTTAAGTCGGTTCTCTCATTTTCAAGATATGAGGACTCATTGATTGACACAAGAAGCGAATATTTAGAACTGCTGGGTCGATTGAGCCCGGATAAAATACGAACCGTCCCCTGTCATAAGACGAGAATCATGTCGGAACTTCGAGTTGATACCTCCATTTCTGCGGAGGCTGGAGCGAGTACCACGATATTTTGGAAAAAATAAAAATGTGGAAATATGTCAGAATGTTTGTACCGACGGCTATATGGGTTTTGATTGATGTAGATGGAGGCCATCGAGACAAACATTTTTAAAAGGCAAAAAAGTTGAATCGGCCGAATAGTTTTGCAAATAATTGCAAAATACGTTTCAAAAAGAAAAAAGTTTTTCCTATCCGAATGATCAAGCGGATTCTGTAACCAGCGTTAGCCCAAAGCAGGACCTATGATTTGATAAAATTTCATATTTGTGGAATTTTTTTTTGTCCTCTTATTGTTGTATTTTCTAAAACCTAATTTCCAAAAATTGGCTAAGGGGGGGGAGGGTGAATACAGACATTTCCCCAAACTTTGTATTTTTACGTCTGAGATTATTCTGCATCATGTCCAATGAAAATTAGAAAATGTAAAAATTGAAGGATTGCAAAGATTCATAATGCCTTAATTGGAAATATTAAACATAACTTCGCCGAAATTCTGTGTGAGTTATTTTATCACATGGAATCAGGAAAATAAATGAAACGAAGCTGAGACTGTCATGTTCTAAATCATTAGCTTTAACATGATGAATATAATTAAAGTACAATACAATATGAAAATAACGGGATGATACAAAACGTTATGATGTTTTTTGACGAGGGATAATTTCATTGCAGGCGTTAACAAAAATGTTTTGAACGTTTTGTAATGACTTTATAGTGACTCACTAATGATAATTTAATGGTTCATTTTTGGCAATATTAGTGATTAGATCATACGCTATACCCCCCTACCGTAGTCACTATACGAACTCGCCGTCATTGTTATTATTGGTTCCTATGTTTTTGTCATTTCACTGTTCTATTAGACAATCATTTGTTATAAACGAATTTATGTCCTTTATTAATGAAAAAACAATTTTACTGGAGAACTAGCGGAAATGCAAGAACAAGTTCAGACTGAACCTATAGATTATATGAACAAACATATGGTGGATACATCTTTCTTGTTTTATTGATCAATTTTTGAATTATATACTCTCAGGAATATAGATTTATTGTGTTTCATTAAATAAAC